TTTTTTTTTTTTTTGGCAGAACCGGGGACTGAACTCAGGCCTTTGCACTTGCCAGAGAAGCCCTTATTCCACTGAGCCATCTCCCCAAAGTTTAACAATTTCTTGACATCAACAAATAAGCACGATATAGAATTCATTAAAAGTCAGATTGCATGTTCACTTTTTTTCTTGTTTTGTATTTTAGAGAAGGTCTACAGGGTGTTCAGGGTTTCACTACTTGATCGGATTCGTACTGATCCACCTGTTTACAGCCTCCCAAGAGCTTGGATTATAGGCGTGTGCCACCATGCTCAGTCTCAACTGCTGTCTCAGTACACCTGCTAGCAGGCACTTTAATCTGCTCAGCTATTTGGCCAGCTCTTGATTTTCTAAGTATGATTAGAAACATTTAAAAACTAGTTTGCAGATGTGCAAACTAATAACACACTGCCTATTACAGATTTTGTTCGTCCTTTTTTGGACAGGATTTGTGCTTCGATGTTTAGGATCTTCCTCTTTCAACATCAGAGTGAAATTATGGATGTGAATTACCACAACTGGATCTAAAATCATAGATAACCTAATACAGAGGATTCCCTCCTTTACCTTAAACAAATCACTATCTGTAATCCCAGCACTCAAGAGGGTGAGGCAGGAGGATTACTGCAAGTTTGAGAACTCCCTAGGCTACAATGTGAGCTCAAGGCTACCCTAAGTTATATAGGGTGACCTTTCCTCAAAAAGACAAATAAGGGGCTAGGGAGATGGCTCAGTGGCATAAGCACTTCCCTGGCAAACGCAAGGGCCTGAGTTCAATTCCTAGTTCCGTCAAGAAAAAAAAAAGAAAATGGAAACAAAGCTTTAAAAAAATAAAAATAGGGCTGGTGAGATGGCTCAGTGGTCTAAAGCACCTATTTGGAACAGGCTTGGCAAAGCACAGGGACCGCGGTTCAATCCCCCAGCACCACATGCCAGCCAGCCCCGCCCCCTGGTGGGCTGAGCTGGCTACACGCGCACACACACACACACACACACACACATTAAAGAAAAGGACTAAGTAGCATCAACCATTTAGCTTAAAAAAGAAAAAAAATAAAAATAAAAATATTAACGGGTGGAGGAGGTAGCTCAGTGGATTAAGTGCCTGCTTAAGGAAGCACAGGGTTGATCCCTGGCCCCACATGCTGTTCCAGCACCATCTCCATGGTGGGCTGAACTAGCCAGAGTCCACACATAGTGGAGCAAACCAGTAACCACAGGACTGGGCCAGCTGAAAGTAGGAGGATCACATAGTGAGACCCTGTAGCAACCAAATATATTGAAAAATATCTTCTGTGTATCTAAGTAACTAGTTGGGTAAGGACATTACAAAGCTCATAAATTTATATGTAGACAATGTGGTTGTCCCTTTGCCTTGAGTGACCACCCCGGCAAAAGCATGAAACATCATATGAGCTGTTCCTGGCAACGCATGCCTAAACCCAAGTTCCCTGGGTCCACTGAGCCACAACAGCCCAGGTTAAACTTCTTCCTGGGAGCCTAGTGACTGCAAAATCCTGTGTGTGTTACAAAGGGGTAGGGCTGCAGATGAGTGCAACAGCACTAATTTCAGGTAGACATCGACTCTGATGTGCAAGTAGCATTCATGGAGGCCTCAAGTGCAAGTATAAAATATAGATTTAAAATTATAATATATATATAATACAAAATAAATTATATGTATATATAATACAAAATAAATTATAATCACTGTGCCAGTATTTTATTCTATACTTAACACAATCTACAACTACATTACTTGAGAAGCTGATTCTTATTAACATTAATATGGCTAAATCACTCACTACCTAGTGAAAACCTCAACAGCAAACTCTAAAAGCTTCTCTATTACTTTTTAAAAATAAACTATGTATTCTGCTCAAAATCTACAGAACCTCAGGGCTAGGGAGATGGCTCAGGGGAATAAGCACTTCCCTGGCAAGTGCAAGGGCCTGAGTTCAATCCCCGGTTCCGCCAAAAAAAAAAAAAAATCTACAGAACCTCTTAATGATATAGCTAGACAAAAATCTAAAATGTTATGCTGGCAACATAGCTCAGCAGTCTAAAGCACCTGCTTAGGCAAGCAAAGGCAGGCATAGGGGACAGTGGTTCAATCCCTAGCACTACATGCAACACCAGGCTAAGCCCACCAAAACAGAAAAAAAATCAAATATTTACAAATGTTACCTTTATTTTATTAAATACTATTTCATTATGCCAGATATGCACAATCTGTCCCCAATGTGTAGGATAATCTGCTTATCTTGTGTTTTATAAATTAATACTTCTTCATAAGTACAGCGTGTTTAATCAAAGCTTAAGTCTTCTACTCTGACCACAGAGCCCTATCAAATTGTTCAAATGAGAAAAACTTCCCAAGAAAATAAAACATCTAGGGGCCAGAGAGATGGCTCAGTGGAATAAGTGCCTCCCTGGCAAGCGCAAAGGCCGGAGTTCAAACCCTGGTTCCGCCAAAAAAAAAAAAGAAGAGAAAACATCTAAGCCCCGAATGGTGGTGCATGTCTGCATTCCCAGCACTCAGAAGGCTGAAGCAGGAGGATTGTTGTGTGTGAGACCAGCCTGGGATACAAAGTGAGCTCAAGAGCAGCCTCGATTGCATAGCAAGACCCTGTCTCTAAAAGACAAAATACAGGGGGCCGGGGAGATGGCTCAGTGGAATAAGCAATTCCCTGGCAAGCGCAAGGGCCTGAGTTCAATCCCCAGTTCTGCCAAAAATAAAAATAAAAAATAAAAAATGAGACAAAATATAATTATGTAATAATAACAACAGTAACAACCATCTACATGCTATCATGATCTTAAGTCCATGCCAGTTTACAGATATGAAAGATCCTTTACCCTTTCCCATCTTACTTCAGTTATTATGATACTATAAAATAAGCAGACAGTTACATGTTTCTCGTAGCACAACCTCTTCAATCCGTAATCATGATTTTTACTGTTTCACTGGAAAGGTACTAATCAGTATCAGCTACTGCACAATGTGAAAGTTAGAAAACAGAGGTGATTATGAACAATTCAGTCACAAGAATGACAAAAAAATGGATTGAAAAGATTACCAGGATTCACTGCATTCCCAGTAATTTATTCTTTCCTTCAAAAATAAAAAGTAATGGAAGGGCTGGACAAATTGCTCAGAGGATTGGGGCTGGGGAGATGGCTCAGTGGATAAGCGCTTCCTTGGCAAGCACAAGGGCCTGAGTTCAATCACCGGTTCTGCCAAAAAAAAATTGCTCAAAGGATTAAAGCGCCTGCAAGCAAGTGCAGGGACCAGGGATTCGATCTCTGGGCCTGCCATGTGGGCGCTGGCCCCATCCCTGGGTCAGCGGTGAAGGCAATTGTGACTGAGTGTGGTGTGCCCGCTGGTAATCCCAGCCCTTGGGAGGCTGTAAACAGGCAGATCACTGAGTCTGATCTAGCAGTGAGACCCTAAACACCCTGTAGATACTTCCCTAAAAAAAAATACAAAAAAGCAATGAAAAAAATGTACAACAGTACTTCACAGTTTAGTTGCTCTATGCATTTATTTTTAGCTGTTATTAATGCAGAAAGAGGGGACAAAAAGCTCACAAATAATCTACACAATTCACAAGATGCACTTTTCAGGGGAAAAAGTTAACAGATATAGGTCAACAGTAGCTTAGGGTCTTGGTGGACGCATTCCTGGGGGAGGTGGACCTTAAAAGGAGAAAAATAAAATCCATGAGTTAGGTAAAAGGAATATAGATCTCAAGGGTATGGCTTCTTGAGTCCTTCCTTACCTCTGATGCCCGGTGGAGGGGGTCTCATTCCTGGAGGGGGCATGCCTATTGGTGTCCCTCGAGTAGGAGGAAGCCCAATTGGCGGGCCCATGGGTGGCCTCATACCAGGTGGAGGAGCCATAATACCTACAAAAAGCCCCCATAGGTTGGTTTACAGAAATGTGTTAGTATTCGGTCCAATGTAATGTTTGAAAAAAATGATGGAAAACCAATGGGAGGGTAGAGTAATTTGAATGTATGCCCCTATGTGCCAGCCTCTATACAAGAGTTTGCAGCCTTTCATTAAATAAGTCATCTCAAATTCTAATTAAGCATTCAGTGAAAGCATTATTCACAGGATTATGAAATATTACCTACTCAAGATCACAATTTATTGGTGCTCAAAGACAAACTAATCTTGTTTGCAAATCCCTTACCTGGAGGTGGGGTCGCTCTGCCTACAGGAGGAGGTGGAGTCCCCCTTCCTGGTGGGTACTGGGTGGGAGCTCCAGCAATGCTGGCAGTTGCAGCCACAGCAGCAGCTGCCACAGTACCTCTTCCCTGTGGAGTCATTACCTGAGAAGACATGGAGAGTAGGCCAAGAAACGGTAAGAGATACCTTCAATTTGCACAGAAAATAAAATGGTGGTTGTGTCCTACTAAGTAACTACTGTGATGTTGCACTTAATTGTGCTGTTTGGTAACTCAGGGTACCGTGCAAGCCAAAAACAAACACTTTTTATTGGTGATCTACATCGTAAGCCCTTGTTTTTTTCTTCTTTTTGACAGAACCGGAAATTGAACTCAGGCTCTGCTTATTCCACTGAGCCATCTCCCCAGTCCCCCAAGCTCTTATGATAATCTAATAAGATCTTCTTTTTCTCCTATCTGCCAAAGATCTTTTATGTTATACCACTATCTGACATGCTTATCCAGATTCTCTAGTCTGCAAGGTAATATTGCTGCCTCTTCAAACTAGTTTTAATTTTGCAAGGACCACATTATGTAGCTCACTATACTCCATTCCTAACAGATGTAAACTTACATTTCTTTAATTTCCCAGTCCCGGGGCCTTGTCACAATTTCCCTTGATGAAACATCCTTCCCTTGATCTTGGTGTAAGGAGACATACCTATAACCTCAACATTCTGGGAGACTTGAGTTAGCAGGATCACAATTTCAAGTCCAGCCTCAGCAACTTAGTAATAAGCAAGCCACTGTGTCTCCAAATAAAAAGGGCTGGGGATGATTTCAGTATGAAGACCATTGATTGACTCCCAATACAGCCAAAAGTGTCATCCCGATTCCTCACCTGTTGGGATGGACCCCCTACTCCTCGGACCGGGCCTGCTAAGCCAGCAGGAGCCTGGGGAATTGGTACACCAGCTGGTACACCTCTGCCAGCTGCCCTCCCAACCCCAGGGCCTCCTGCAGCTCCAGCAAGTGGTACCCGAGCAATGCCAGTCTGAAACAAAAAAGTTTATGTAGCTTAAACCAAATGTGTTTTCTAGCCTCTCAGGCATTTTATTTAATCAGCTGTACCCACAGTCTTCCCATAACATCTACCAATATAAGCACCACATTCAAATATACTGATACCACAGGTGATGTATCCACCAATGTACTTCAATGCACATACTTTTCAAAATATGAAAACATTAACAATCAACTTCAAGCAATTATCTGGATCACACAAAATGTAGGCAGCACATAAAATTAGTTCAACAGAATACCCTTCAATTGTGAAATCATGGATATCACGCCCAGCTATTAAGTGCTGGGCACATTTTACTTGACAAAATCATATAAGGCTGTGCTTCTATTGTGTCTTCACTTTAAAAATCTCAGATGATGCCAAGTTTCTACACTCTGAAGTACTGTCCTTCATGTGTCAATTAAAAGCAAAAGACAAATTCAAAGAAAAACAAGACATCTGTCTTGCCCTGCATCCTCCTTACATCCTTAGGGGGTGGCCCTTCCACAGTCATGGACACCAAGTTCTCCCCACGGAGCAAGACCAGACCCAAAACCCTCTTCTCTTCACGCTCAGGCTGTTTTGCATTCTTTGGCCTATAAATCAAAAGTAAATTTTAGTTATCCAAGTTTCAATAATCCCAAAGTTACTCATAACCTCAGAATTAACAGTTTCGATAAAAACTGATAGGAAGACTCTTATAAAAATTTGAGATTTTCTTCATCCCCCAAAACCTCTAGATTCAGTTAATTCATTCAAAAATAATAAAGCTATTTAATGTTAGTCCTATCAAGAATGTGTTTTTATCATACATTACAAAAAATTTTGTAATATATGCAAATTCTAAGCTCTCTAAAACCCATTACAGCATCAATTTCCATGTTAAAAAAGAAAGTATATTTATTAAAATCATGTAATAAATCTTTGCAGAACTGAGAAATGCAAATAGAAACAAGCAGAAAGGC